GTAGAAGGATTGAAAGGCATTGCCTCGGACTGAATACAGTTTCATTCCCACTCAGTTTTTATCTCAATTGAGGATATGCATATATAACCAATTGTGGATCATTTAAGAATCCTTTTTTACTATGGACCATACATTACTTACCACAGTTGTAGATTAAGTAGAAATAAAGAGAAAATAAATTTACATAATCACAAAGATGGTGTCATAACTTACTTCCTACAATCACCTTTGTCGTCTGATTAACAGGATCCCCAACTCCATTAGATGCTGTACAGCGGTAGGTTCCATTGGAGCTTCTGCTACTATTACTGATGACATAAACCCCATCCACAGATGGTAGTGGTCCACTGTTAGTACCATTTTCCCCTTCTTTTGTCCATGTAATATTTGGTGTTGGTTTACCAGTTGCATTGCAGCTCAAAGTTACACTAGAACCCTCACAAACATCTTGGTCATTGCTAACAACAACCTCAGGAGGTTCTGTAAATAATCACATAATTGGCATGAAGTGAGGGAAAGGTATGAAAAGTGAGCCATGAATAGTGCCTTTTACAGCGTAGCTTTATTTGATATTTGAAATATGACCCATCCCATCAGAAAATTTTTTACTTAATTAATTTATCTTAATTAATTTTTGTCACATTGGTTTTATTTTTTTCGGAACCTGAGCGATTTGAATAGATAAAATTTTCTCTAAATAACAAAAATGTGAAACAAAGAAAAAATTCGTCAAACTCAGGTTAGCCATTACTATGACACAAGACTTGGCACGATGTACAGTTGTTTAGAGGATTTTTCATATTTGACGCACCAGCAATTGTTCCAGAAACCGTAGCGAGATTAGGATTTTTTCTGGGAATATTTCAATTTTAAGCACTTTTGTAGCTAAATTTATAATTAATTTCCCAGGGAAAGAGAGAGTACCCTGGGAGCGAGGTTGTACCGTTTATTCTCGTCCTGAGGATCATGTCTGCTTTCAAGATGGCGGGCGGGCGGTTTATAGCGATAGTTTAATGATAGTCGGGCGCGAAATGATCAACGACTTCCCAGAGCCTGGACCAACCGAAGAAAAAAAAATACTCGCAAAAATGGTTCGCATGACTCACACGGCTCGCTCACTCGCAGACTTAGTAGACCCCATTCAAACCAAATTAAAGGCCAATTAATACCAAATTAAAATCTGGGAATTTGCCGCATGTGGGGCCATTTCATAAGATGAGATGAGGTTTCAGTTTTCTAGGGGTATGGCAAATATACAATAGATCTTTGACCAGTCAGGGCAAAGTTGTGTCTAAGTTATGTCATATTGTTAAATAGATGTAAACACCAAATTTGGTTCTGTTATGCAAAATGAACAAAGCACCACTTTTCCCAGTGTTCACCAGACGGAAAGTTATATAAATAGGAAACATTGTAAAAAGTTTTGTTACTCTTAGTGGGTAAAGAAGGGAAAGTCAAACTATGGCTGCCATATAAAGTATACGTCCTTATATACTACAGGCACAGTTGAAGAAATACACTGTCAAGTAGCCCTTCAAATGGTTTTGCCAATTTCATTTTTACTTTAACAATTATTGTAATTACACAGTCATGTAGTGTATAAGCTTTAGCCCATAAGATGAAATACACCACATGACAAGAAAATCCCTAAAAATCAAAGGATCTTTACAACATGACACATTATAAGAAAAGGTATGAAATTAAAAATTAGGTACAATAAATTTTTGCAAGCCAATAAATGGCACACCAGCTCGAATCAAACAGCCAGCATTAGTCAAGTGAGCAAAACTACCGACACAAGCAACATTTTTTCCTCAAAATTGGCACCTAAAATCGCACAGAATTAAGGACGATGCCTACTAATAAGTATCTAATAGGTATCTAATTTTTCCAAGCCAATGACTATGCAAGAAGCAAAACAGCTCATATCAAAGGCTATTAAAACCCATTAATGAAATGAGATTACCCACGCAATATTCAGAGATAATTGGGTTTAAAATCAGAAAAAACTGTGGATCATGTTAAATTTTTTAAAAAGTGAAGAAAAACAATTTCCCGGTCAATTCTATTTGATTTTGATTTTTTTTTAAAGAAAATCAATAGTATATTTAGAAAAATCTTTAAAATAAAAAGCGAATATAATCCTCAGAACGAGGTAACGGTAAGTTTTTAGGTTCTGTCCTCGTGTACCGGTTCACAAGAGCCAATACAAAAGACCAAACAATACACAATAGCTAACCGATAACTCCTAAACAAAGAAAGAACAATGGTAATTCCCTTGTGAACCGGTACACCAGGACAGAACCAGTTTTTATTACCAAAATGACTGCATTAAGGTCATTTTTGACCTTCTCACTCTCACTTGTACAGCCAACAATACTGGCAAAACAGTTTTGTTCTGTGTTATCAAAAACAGGGGGCTTACCACCCGTTTTTGTTTTTTTGTTTTTTTTTAAGTTATTTCGTTATCGTGTGGTTTACACGAGTTGTAAACCGTACTACGTCATGATGGCTGGCTTGATTTGTCACGGTGAACAGAGTGTTTGTCTCGTGGTTTACTCGCGTCGAGGATAGGTTCCAGTCTACGGTCGGCTAAGTTACGTAAGCTTAAACACTTCAAAAAGCATTGGTGGCCCAATCGTGTGTAATTTTGGGGTCTAAAGTTCTTTAACGGCAATAACTAGCATATTGAGATCGAATTTTAAGCATATGTGTGAGCCGTTAAAGAAAGGAAAAATTATAAAAAAAAATTAAGAAAAAATTTAAAAGGATAATAAAAGCGAGGAATAAAACGTGTGAACTCTCCTTACCCTTTCTCCGTAGTCGCTTTGTTGCCAATGGTCGTTTAACGCTGTTTTGGCGACTTTCTTTGTAGCGCGTGCGGTCTCACCAGTCAGCTGTAAATTTCACAAAAGTCGACCGATCTCTCTCAAATTTCCACCCGCGAGAGCGCTTAGCTATTGCCAGTGCAAAAGTTTCCAAATTCCACAGCATCGTTCCGCGAGCCGCTCCGTTTTACCACCCATTCTGGCTGAATCGCTGTGTAGGTACACGTAATTTCTTAGCCCTTTCTACGGGACTCAAATATCAAAGCGCATCTGACCAAATAAAAGACTCTCCAGAGGATCGCTTGGAAGATTGTTACGTTTGCCCTATTGTCAAACAACATTGTCTGGGGAGTCGTGCATGTAATTCGACCCGACGCGCTTTGATATTTGAATCCCATAGTAAGGGCAGAAGGATTACGCGTACCTACACAGCGAATTAACCAGAATGGGTGGTAGAACGGAGCGTCTCTCGGATCGATGCAGCGGAATTTGGAAACTTTTGCCACTGGAAAGGGTGGGAAATAGCTAAGCGCTCTCGCGGGTGGAAATTTTAGGGAGATCGATCTATTTTTGTAGAAGTTATCTGCCTTCGAGTGGCGACGGTTGGTGTTTTGAACCGGTTGAAGTTTCAAGCCTTAAAATTTTGTTTGTACACAGTTGACCGGTAGCATCACACGCGTTACAGAGAAAGTCGCCAAAATAGCGTTAAAGGGTCGACGTAAACGACAAAGCAGCTACGGAAAAAAGGTAAGGAGACTTCATACGACATATTACTCGCTTTTATTGTTAATTTTTTCTTAATTTTTTTACTTATTTTTCCTATTATACGGTTGACTGGTGACACCGCACGCGCTACAAAGAAAGTCGCCAAAACAGCGTTAAAACGACCGTTGGCAACAAATCGGCTACGGGGGAAAAAGGCAAGGAGACGTTTTACTCCTCGCTTTTATTATCCTTTAAATTTTAACTTAATTTTATTTTTATAATTTTTCCTTTTTAACAGCCCACACATATGCTTAAAAATTCGATCTTAATATGTTAGTTATTGCCGTTAAAGAACTTTAGATCCCAAAATCACACAGAGTACGCTTGGGCCGCCTGCGCAGAAAGCGGCCGTTTAGTATATAGGGGTGAAACACGTTGTCGATGATCGTTATTATCTAGTTGTTCGTTCATCTTTGTTGCTTAGATTTCACACGCCGGCTTTCCTGCAGTCGTCTTTTCTTCTAAATGCGGAATTACAGAGAGGAGTCTTTTATTTGCCAACATTGAAACAAGTTGTTGGACAACACATTGTGTGGAATGAAGTAGTGATTTGGTTTACCCAATTTATGTACCACTAGAATTCACGTGACTGCGGTCACGTGGTGCGGTCACGTTTCACGTTATTCATTTACCGGAACGTTTTTTATCCTGAATTTCTAGTTATACCACATGGACGACATGCTCATTAAGAAAATTACTTAAAAGCAACCAGTCTTTTTTGGTGCATGCTTAAATACAATTTTTAGCCAACGAGTCAAAATAGGACTTTTTGTTGTCATTTGAAAATCAAATTTCGCTGTTGTCTGAAAATTCAATGACGGCCTCTTCAAATGAAATTTTTCTATCATGTTTACATAGCTAAACCGATTCAAAAACGTCTAACCACTAACCTGAAACTGCGGTTTGTCGTTAACATGAAAACCTTGGTGCTAAATGTCTATTATGATTGATTCCAAACCTTAAGGAAGTAATACATCGAAACTCAGTGAAAGTGGTTTCGCTTGTATTAAAATACCAATAGGGGCCTAATAAATTAATGTTACAACTGAAAAGTGATTAGTATTATGTTTTCCAAATAATGCCCAGAATTATTCAGATCTTAACATTTCATGACTTCCTGTAAGCTTGGCATTCTTTTAAATTCTTTTCATAATGGTTCAGATAAGCATTGATATTTAAACTTGGTAGCAATACATGTGTACTGGCCCCTTATTTGGTAGACTACAACTTCTTTCAGTAACTTGTTTGGCTTTGGTCAATTCATCACAATGCTGATACACATGAAAAATTACACTCTTGATTGGCTGAAAACAGCTAGGTGCATTTTTCATGTATCACTAGTGCGAAACTCAAGTACAGATGTAAACTAGGTTCAGCAACAATAGATCTCACTAGAAACCAACCAGATTTACACGAAGTAGGTTCTGCTGATTGATACCCAAAGTAGCTGACCAAAATAACCAAAAGCTTGGAAGGACAAATTTTCATAGCATGCCAAGCTGACCATTTACATGATGATGTCAAGTTCACCCATTCATTCAACACACTAGCATGAAATTACAATTTCAATAAAAAGAAAACTTGAAAAATTCTAGTACTTTTCATCATATGATACTATCATGCACTTGCCTGTACACTGAACTCTGTTATGTTTAAGTTAAGTTAAGTCTCTAATCACTGTTCCTGAAATCTATTACGATGACACTCTACCCCTATTGAGCTTTCTGTTAAATAAAACCTCCAGGTCAAATTATATAATTTATTTGGTTCAAAACTATTAGAATGTTAATGTTACGTCACTTCAGAGTAATACTCAACATATGATTCATTAAAATATTGCTTGTGTTCTGATTTTGTTATGCACCTATCTTTTTCCCCTAAATTCTT